TATATATGAAATGACATTACAGCACGCGTGATCTTACAAGTGTGTGACAGTGTGTTTACACTGTGGTTGCTGTGGAGACGCAGACAGGACGAAGGAACTTTGTGTGTGTGGATGGTGGGCGACTGAGTGCTCAGGTTCAGACACTGAGTTTGTTAGTACGCGTTGTTGGTTGTTTGGCTGCAATAACACACAGGTCGACCAACACGCCCTCTCTTGTCTTTTTTACATGTTGATCGTTGTGCTCTCTCAAACTTGCCTTTGACTCCCCAGGCTCAGATTGATGGAGCACAGTTACAGAGTCTCTTCATAATGTTGGTGGACATGCTGCTGCTGAATCTTCCTCAAACACAAACCTGAGACTGGTTGGCCTCTTAAATATTATGATTCCAGCAGCAATGAATATTCAATAAATTAACTAAACAATAACCAAACTTTTTTTTCACTTTCAGAAGTTCTATCAATGAACGCTGGTAACCGGACTCGTGTTTCTCAAAGACGTTTCCTCAAAGGCTTTTTCATTTCTGACTAATGGGAGGTTTCAGGAATTTAGTTGTTAGTTGTAGACCCAACCTGCTGTTGTCTTCAGAGTCACTGGTGTTCAGCTGACTGGGCAGAGAACTGAGGACAGTGTTGTCTTTCACTCCTCTTTCAAACCACCTGTCTTTCTGTACAAAATAAAAACACCACTGTCTTCAGAAGAGAGACTGTGAGTCCTGGCCTGAGGAACTGGTTCTCCTGCTGTTCCATCCGTTTGTTTAGCGGTCGATTAGTTTCATGGTTGCGTAAACCACATTGTCCTGTTTGTATCTGGGTGAATACAGACTGTGTTGCTGGGCTTGAAATGCACAGATACACTTGAACAGAGGTTAAATACCTGAAACCTCCCATTAGTCAGTTAAGCCTCTTGGATGAGAGATGAAAAGTCTACAAGAAAAACAAAGGAATCCAGCCATTAAAACCATTAATCATTGTTAACCACCATCTATGGTCAGTCCTGAAGTTAAACCATCTCAGCTGAAGTGACTCGAGGAAGATTCAGTGTCAGTGAGACGATGAGTCTTGTCAGGTGGATTTGACAATGTGAAGAGAACAGAGAAGAACGAATGGTGTCGTAGAGCATCTGTCAGAATGGAGACAAGGATTTCACCTCCTTTCGACCTGTT